TTCATGCCTTTTGCCCACTTTTTAATGGGGTTGTTTGATGTGTTCTTGATGATTTGCTTGAGTTCTTCGTAGATTCTGGCTATTAGCCTTTTATCAGATGTATACCATGTGAATATTTTCTCCCATTTTGTAGGTTGTCTATTTTCTCTGTTGATTGTTTCCTTGGCTGTGCAGAAGCTTTTTAATTTAATCAAGTCCCATTTATTTATTTTTGTTGTTGCTGTGATTGCCGTTGGGGCCTTCTTCATAAATTTTTTGCCTAGGCCTACAGCTAGAAGACTTTTTCCAATATTTTCTTCTAGAATTCTTATGGTATCAGGTCTTAGATTTAAGTTTGTTATCCATCTTGAATGAATTTTTGTGAGTAGTGAGAGATATGGATCCTGTTTCAATCTTCTACATGTGACTATCCAATTTTCCCAGCACCATTTATTGAATAAGGATTCTTTTCCCCAGTGTATATTGTGGATTGGAGACCCATCTTCGGTCTTCTTAAAAGGAATAATGGCCAGCCTAGAATTTTGTAAACTAGATTTTTTTTTTTTTTCTTGTCAGCTGAGGCTAAAAGCAATTTTCTATTCAGGTCTTTGGCAAAGTCAGTAAATTTGTCAACCTGCACCAAACTTGTTTGCTAATTTTGCAATATTGTGGCTGACTATTCAAACATCTCCAGAATGCTCTATTGTATAACTGTAAAGGTGGTTTAGGTTGGGTTGAAGAGAAGGGGGTGCCATCAATTAAGCAATTTCCTTAGAACTCATGGATCATTGCATTTCACTTGGTTGGGTTTTTATAATGGAAAATCAGGGTCCCATCCAGGGTCCTGGACTAGGAAGCCCTTTGGGGCCTCATATTTGGGAAGGTCTCAAATTTAGACATTTTGAAGTTATCATCAAATGAGGCTGTACTGTGATATAGTCATTTGTATTTGTGTGTGTATTAAGGTGTTATTTTGTTAAATAGAAAAATTTTAAATGTACTACAGTTTAGTAATCCTGTTTGGGATTAAAAAAATTTTTTTAAAAATATATTTGGTGTCTCCAAAAAATAGAAGTAGCCCAAGCTTCCATGTATATCTGAGAGGCTCTGCCAAAGGATAATTAGAAAATTATTAATCTTTACTACTCTGTTTGCAATTAATTTGATATATGGCTTTTGGGGGGGTAATATTTCAATTTTATCTTCTTTTATTTCTTATTTTTTATTCTGTAAATTGAGATTAATCATTACAGAACAATGAAAAAAGACCTGCAATATACCTAAGCTGTTATCACTCCACAAGTGATGCAAAGAATATGGTAGCACAAGTATGTAAGTGCTCAACTTCTCTTCATGATAACATGGAATTCTGCTATTTAAATAATTTAGGAAATTTCTGTAACATTTCTCTATGGAGTTTTTTTTTCTCTTTTCTGTAAGTATCCATATTAAAACAGCAATAAGATGAAGAATTTGGTGTGCCAAACCTGTGTCATCAAAAAAGATCACAAATTCTTTTCAATACTGTAGGCCTGAAAACCAAAAGACAGAGGGTATATTATGTTAAAAAAAGTAATCAAAATATTGTTTCTAATTTCGGTTCTGCTAGTGTCTTCCATTTTTTAGGAAAGACTTGGTAGGTCAGATAGACATTTACCTACAATGCGGTAAAAAACAGTTGGATTAAAGTAAGTGTTGTCCGTATTTGGAAACACAAAGATTGGTTGTGGGATGAGAACCAAACATTAGGTCTTAGGACTAGATCTACTTTATTAGATTTTGAGTTTAGGACTCTAAGGGCTGAAAATGATAAAAGGTAACGCTTGTTGGAGAATACGGCATCATAAACACAGTGTAGTATAGAAAAGTTAAAAAGAAACAAGGAAAAAAGTATACCACCTAAAAAGCAATTAAAGTGGGAACAAAGAAAAACAATGAATACAGAAACAAAGGCAACACTAAATTATTAAAAATTAGGTAATTTGGTTCTTACTCATTTCTGTTTCTATACATTGTCTTCCAATTTAGCTATAACCAAATTCTATTTCTAGGTATCATTTTGTCCCATGACTAAAATTAGAAATTTGGGTATAGTTATTATGAGAACAAGAGGTTATCTTTCCCAGGGTCATTGCAAAATCCCATTCTGGTCTAAGAGATTTTTTTTTTGTAATTATTGATAAATTTTAGCTTGATCTGGCTGAACTTTCTGAACCAACTGGACATCGTTGAAGGTAGAAATTTTAGAAGATAGAAATGATCGCATAATGTTCATAGCATGTATTATGAGCTAGTGAAAGTGATAAAAAGAAATAGTAATACAATAAAAAGACTCAAATAACCATTGGCCCCAATTAAAATTCTATTCAACTACCTTTCCTTCTGCCATCATTCTCAGACAGGCAAATACCACCAGACCCAAACTGTCAGTCACCTTCCCCTCTGTCCTCCTCATCCTCACCTTCATCTCCACCCCATCATCCCTCCTGCATTCCTACTCTGCTGATTTTATTATTTTCTTCAGAAACTTTCAAAAGTTCCTCATCACTAAAAATCTGAGTTGCCTAAACTTACTGCCTTTTGCAGTCTGTACTATTCCATTCTAAGGTCCTATTTTACTCCAGAAAGTCTCCACTGCAGACATAATGATTCCCACTGTTCCCAGATTATGCTTTTAGTATTTCTGCACTTTTCATCCAGGATGTCTTTTCCTTTCTTCTCTACCGATTAAATCTCACATGAACTTCTGAGACCCTGCTCAGGTCCATGGGCTCCCTGAAACCTTCTTGGACTCCCCTGGGGACTCTTTATCTTCTGGAATCCTGGAGTACATTGTGTAGTTCTGTTGCCATTAATTATATTATGGTCTGCGAAGCCAAGTGTCTTTTTATGTGGGTATATCTTAACCTCCACCCCCCCACCCCTACGTAAATACAGACCGAATCTCATATACCTATTCGTGGTGGCACTTGTTTGAATTTCTTATATGAAGGATCACTTAAAATGTTTGTCATCTCATTCCAAGACTTGCTTCATTATTCATTACTTATGATTTTTCATTTTATTCAGTTTTAAAGTCTGTGCATACTCTGGTCCATTACCTCTTTCTATAGTGATATGTGAACCAAACCAGTGATATATGTGAATGTGTTGCATTTACCATGTTTTAAAAACCAAAAGAGCATAAATCTATTACCAAATGTATCTCAGATTACACTATGGCATGATTTTTAGAAATATTCAGAACATTAAATTATAATGTTTAAGTCTGTGTTTTTCTTATGAAAGGAAAGTTACTTTGAGTTTCGTCAAGACCAGATCACACATTTCTTCATTAGTTTTGCTATGTCTAAACATAATCAAATGATCTAGGGAAAAAATATTGAAACAAAAAACTAGTTCCTTAGTTATTTTAACTCACCTAACTTTGCCAAATTAGTTTTCCTGTGTATATTTGATTTTTAAGTGTTAGAAAAGTTTTGTGATAAGAATTTTGTTGTGTAGAGTAGGTTCAAAAGATATATGACTCTTTAAGGGAAGCCTGTTATGTATGCTTTTATTTTAATCCAACATGCTAATTTACTATAATTACTTAGTATACTTAAAGATCAGAATTACGAGGAAATGTAGCTTAAATTTTTAAGGGACATAAAATTTTAAATATGTATACATTTATTCTCACCCTATTTTATATGAAGATATTATAGTATAAAATGTACATATTAGAGTACATTCATTCCTATTCAATTGACCCACTATTACATGGAATTTTACCAGAATAGAAGAATTTGATTTTCTAACAGTTATTGCCAATTTTTGGTTAATCTTATACTCATCTGGTAACTTTACAAACAGAAAGAAATCTTAAATTGGAAAGATCACAATTAAATTATGGAAGCAGTGGTTTGAAAAAGAATATTCTCTGGATTTCCCTGCAGTTAAAACTAGTACATTTATTATAACCATTTTCCCCTACATCATAATGTTAATAATTCTCATCTGATGAAAAACAAAACTACAGGCAACCCTTAAAAAAAAAAGAACAAGTTAAGAGACAAGTAAAACTAAATCTACTATACTAAAGCTAATAGACCAAATGGGCACGTTTGGAAAAGGAAAAGAGAAATGGGTAACTAGACATTTTGTTAAATGTTTAATGTCTTGGATCAACTTAAAATTTCTTACTCAAGGAACAGTATTCAGTTGTTTTTTTATAGAAATAGGAATTGACACAACTGTTGAAATCTTGCATTGCTTCTGACTGGTTCACAGATTGTTCATTCATGTCACAAATCCTGAAAGGAGAAGAACTTTTAATTCTGGATTGATTTCTAATCTGTTCTTCTTACCTTACTTTCAGAATAACATCTAGTTGATACATTTTCACAACAGAATAAATAATTATGTGCCAACACATTTTAACTCTTCCTCTGACATGTGGAGAGCTAAGTAGATTTTTTTGAAGGGGGAAAATGTTCATTTAGAAATTCCTTAAAAACACTAGTCTTTTATTTACTTAGCACGTGTCTTTGGAGTGTTAGCAGTGGCCGATAATGACCTATGATTTCCAACCTCACCATACCTTATGTAACTTGGTACCATTTGGGAAGTGTCTGTCATTCTGTAAAATTACCTCAGAAAAGGTCAACAATTCAAAAGAAAATAACTCTTCCACCATGTAATCAATATTTTCTATACATTCGGATTATAATATTTCATTAATCAATCTTACTCCATAACTATTATTATTGTATTGTTTTAGTTTGACTTTCATTCATCACCTTTTGAAAAATTTCAACATTTCTGGATTTATCAGCCAACCAACCTATAGAATCTTGATACAGAATGACACTAGCCAAGGAAACACTTTCAGTGAGTATCTTATTGTATGAAAGCCAAAATTCTAAAAGCAAATAGAACCAATGTTGAATCCAAATGTACAACAGTAAACTGATTTAGCTTCTCTTTTTTAAAAAAAGCTGACGCAAGTTGGAAAGAGGGAGGTGTTGGGGCAAGGTGGTGGTGTTGATTGGCTTGCCTCGTTCACTCCCACTGGTCTTTAAATCATTGTCTACATCCCCAAAGGTTCACATAAGTCAATGCTGTTACAGGGGATTGCCATTCCAAATAATTCAGGAGAGACTGCACAGGACTGGATAAATAACTAAGGTACAGCTGTTTTTACGTGAATATTTGCAGTGTTAAAATAATGCTTACTTTCTTCTTTTTATTGTATGGATTGCTTATTCGTTACAAATTAAAATGTTTGAACATACTACTTGGGTAAATTTTTTCTCATTTTAGAAAAGATCAATTCAATATAATGTCAAACATCGAAATTATTTACCCAGATCCTGATTGCAATTTTCTTTTGAAGTTAGTTTTAGATTTGAGCATAAACTTAGGGCAGTGGATAAGAGGAAAGGGAAACATTGCAAAAAGTGGCAGGTAACAAGTGCTTCGTTGTATCTTCTGGTTGATCATTGAATGTAATGAAGAGTTGACATAATTTGTCTTAGCAAAAAACCATAAAAGTTTAGAAGTACATTCTCAATATGACACCATTAAAGATTTTTATTTATCTTGAAAACAAAATAGAAAGCTACACAGATCTAGGCTAATCAAAGGAGGAACATCGCATGAAGGCAGCTGTTGTGAATGGCTAAGGGTTTGGGCCGTATCATCATCAAATGAAAAAGGAAAAAAGTGTCTTACCTTGTCTTCTTAATCTGACCATTTTAATGATGGAGTATACTTAGAGCAAAGTTACTAGAAGAAACTAGGGAATCAAATAGAATATAAGCATAGCTTTAGATTTTGAAGGAGAAGAATCAATTATCTGAATGTAGAGCTGTTCTCCTCAAATTTATTAATCAGATGAGGAGAATTCCCAGTGGATTTAAGCATCCCTGCATCTTGAGCACCTTACAGAGCAGACAGTGATGGTTTTAAATACCCAGGCTGTAGCAAAACTAAGAGTGTTTTATACCTGTGTGGAAAAATATTTGAACTGATGATATAGATCATATTCATGGCCACTGGTCAAAGAGAAGTTTTATTTTTCACAAATAAAGCTATTAGGTGCTTATCTAGAAAAGACAGGCGTTTATTTTAAAGTTTAAGATCCTTCAGTTCAGTTTTATATTTAAATGATGTTCTGGGAATTTCTTGAAAGTAATTATATTTACATTCCTAATAGTATATTAGCAACATTTAAGTTCTCAAAAATGTAGTTTTCATGGCTAAACTCTTGAGTTTTCTTTAAACATGTCATACAATATGTTTTAAGGGTTATTGAAGCTATTATTTTTAACATATGAGTTACTTTAAAGAAAGTGAAATAATTTATTTTCAGAAGAAGAAAAAAGTACCTCTCGGGTGGTCTATTATAAAGAATGTAGACACTTGGGAATTTATTGCATCCATAATTCATGACAGATTATTAAGTATCATGCATAAAAATGTGTAGTATAAAGAGTTCACTAAGGGCCAGGCGTGGTGGCTCACACCTGTAATTCTAGCACTTTGACTATCATTTGAGGCAGAAGGAGTTCCAAGATCAGCCTGAGCAACATGGTGAAACCTTGTCTCTACAGAAAATAGAAAAATTAGCCAGGTATGGTAGTACACACCTATAGTCCCAGCTACTTAGGATGCTGAGGCAGGAGGATTTCTTGAGCCCAGGAGTTTGAGTTTGCAGTAAGCTATGATTGTGTGATTATGCTACTGCAGTTCGGCTTAGGTGATAGAGCGAGACCTTAACTAAAAAAAAAAAAAAAAGAGTTCACTGTGTTAATATCATATATATTACAAAGTACTACTGTACTTTGTGGAAACTACTGTTTAGGAAAATAATAACTAAAATTTATGCAAGAATTTATGTTTAAGATGACTAGAGAATCTATGTCTTCTAAAAACAGAGCTAGAAAGTCTGTAAGCAAAATAGCATATTCAAATTTTATGAATAGTTCTTTATACCCCATCAAATGGCTGCTTTAATTCTTACACTAGCAAGCATGTAATATTTTTAGCAAAGGGAAAAGACCTTAGCAAAGGATTATTTATGTTAACTTTCTAGTTCTTCCTAGATATTATTTCTAAGCTATATCTGAGTAGAGGAAAGGAATGGAAATGCTAAAATACTATCACCAGCAATAGGAAACAGTTAAGCAAGTATGGTTCTGTTGTTATTGGCAGTTTCTTTTCTAAGAGGTACCTCACACTGAGTGCTTTTGTGGAAGCTAATTTCTTTGAGAAATCATGCCATAGACTAACAAGAGGTCTCACTGTCAAAGTGTGAATGGCATTGTTGGGGAAATTAAGAGAATGTAATATAAAGGTAATATTAGATTTATTTTATTATCAAAACTATATTCACTTATCTGCAGTACATGTTGGATGTAGATTTAAATCAGTTCCTTGGATACAAGATAATTTGGCTTTTTGCTCACTTGTTCAACCAAAGGGTAAATGACATGTGAGGCTATCTGTTACCGAAACCTAGATCTCAGAGTAGGTTTGTCAGTACTGGGTTGGCATGAATGACGAGAAAGATAGCGATGGTGGGAAATCTGCTTTGACATTGTTAGCTCCCTTTTCACTTTGACTTATCAGGTAAAATAAATGTTTGCAGTAACTAGGGAAGGTCAGGACTTCTGCTCCTTGACCCAAGGTCAGTTTTGCTTTCCAAATTTCATGTCTGTCTTTGAAGTTGAACCAAATAAGTAAAAATGGAGAAATGTACTGCTTTGAGAGTCTTCCACCCTGAGCTTCTTAGGTACCTATTCAAAGAATTAGAAATTAGAATGTTTAATAACTAGAATTTCGATCCAAAGGTCAGCTACTTAGAACACTTAGATGTCTCTTAATACATGTGATGAAACTGGAATTCTTGTATTGTGATAGTGTTCTGAATTCTTTTTTTCAAGTTTTGATTTTGTATCCTTATAGATGAATACATTGACTTAACAATGCAGTTGACCACTGCACTGGAATATCCAGTCTGCTTTTGCAAGACCTTTGTGTCACAGAGAAACTTAACTTCGATGGTGAGAAAGGCTAGACCATAGTAAATTCTATCAAAAGAAATTTGGGTTTTATTTTAGAAGTATTTCGAACATTATTTGTGCAACAAAGTTCTTGGTAACCAGAGGAGAATATTTCCATTTCATTTTGAATTATTAACCTATAACACTGTAATAGGAATGCATACCTGTATCTATAAAGGCGATTGTATGAAGTTGCATTGGTCTTAGTAGAATATAATACCAAGCACAGTGTTAGATGCTGGGTATATGTAGAGTCTACAAAGCTGGCACTGTTCCCATCCTCATGAAGCTTCCTGCCTAGTGGGGGTTTGGGGGAGGGGGAGGTGAGGGACAGTTATTTATCAATTAATCACACAACTAAAAATCAACTACAAAGTGTGATAAGTACCATACAGGAGACAAGAGCATGTTCCAAGAGCATATAGTGGGGAGTCGGGGGGGGGGGCATCTAGTTTAGATGTGGAGTCAGGGAATGCCTCTCTGACCACATGATTTTTTAAGATTTTCCAGGTTGTTTTAGTTAATGTGGGGAGACACTTGGGTTAAGAATGTGGGGAAGAGCATTCTAAGCAGAGGGCTTGAGCAGGCAATAAGGAAAGGAAAGAAGCCCAGTGTTATGCAGTGAGTGAGGGGGTGCGATGCAGTATGGGACTAAAGAGCTATGTCTGAGTTAAAGAATATAGAGCTTACAGCAGATTATGAAAGTTGACTTTAGTCTAAAAAGCAATGAAAAAATCATGGTAAGGCCTTTAGTAGGGTAGTCAATTGGAATAACATAATGGTCATGGAGACAGAAATGATAATTTTAAATAGATGTTGAAAGAAGGACTGATAGGACTTGGTGATAGGTTGGATGTGAGTGGGGAATGAAGGATGGAGGATGGGAGGTGTCAAGGCTGACAGCCGGTTCCTCCGTGAGCACTTGGGTGAAGGGAGGTGCCATGTCCTGAGATGGCAAGTGGCAGAAGAATCTATGCTTATGAACATTATGTTTTCAATCACGGTATTTGCCAACATCATACTTGTCTACCCTACCAATGCAGTGATTCACTGATTAGTTCAGTATTTGTTCAGAGAAAGAAAGTAAAAATGTTAATTATGTTTTACTATAATAATTTGTTCAAAAATCTTTTTGTTCTAGTAGGCTGAGTTCCTCAGGGGCAAGGATCCTGTCTTATTCATTCTTTCTGTCTTTCATAGTTTTGGGCTCATGTTTCATTCTCAATATTTATTGAGTAAATAAATAAATACCATCTGTAAAACACTTCCACACTGAAGTATAATCATGTGATTAAATCTGAGCAATTATGAGGTTGTCTAAAGGCTTCAAAGTACATATTTTGTGCTGCAGGCAAATGATTCAGAACATTTAGTTTCTCATAATGTCCTAATTCTTTTAAAATTGTGCATTTAGCCCTTATCCCCTTGAAATAGAGCAGTAATCAAATCTTCAGAGCTGAAGTTATGAGCTATGAAAATGTGTTCCAACGTTTATGAGATGATCTCCCTTGGTCAGGGCCAAAATGGAATAAATATTTTATATATGGTAAAATAGCATAAAATTAGGTCTTAATTTCCTCATTTGTGAAGGGACATCTACCTTGCTTATAATGTTTGTGAGAGTTTTGAGAACTGTAAAGCCCTCTTTTATAAGTGTCTAGGGTAAATTATGCATATGAAATTCTATGTATATTTGCATGCAGATGAAGACATCACTTAGATTCTGATTACTAGAAGAGGGAAAAAGGATTTAAATTTATTACGGGCCTACTATCTGCCGAACTTTGACACCCATTATCTCATTTAAACCCTCACAGTACTGCTTTGTGGTAAATGATGTTATCCTCATTTAGCAGAAGAGGGAAAAAATTAGAAGTTAATTTGATTAGGATTTACAGCCAGTTTCGTTTATCACCGAAGCCAGAGTTCTTGTTTCCTATCTAGGCTTTAGCTGCCTGTAGTCAAGACAGCAGTACAAAGGTGGCATAGCAGGAGGCCACTTAACCTGTGCCTCCATTACTTCATCTGTAAAATGGGAAGAAGAACAAAAAATAGTACTCACCTCAGAGGGCTGCTCTGAAGAGTAAATGAGTGAATAGGTGTAAAGCCTTAAAACAGTGC